TATATTTTTTTGTATTATAATTTTCCTATGCGATCAACGCAGTGATCTCCTGGCTAATGTTTCGTATGGCTTTCAGACCATACTCTATCACGAGCAACGCAATTATCGTTCAGTATTACAAACATTTCTTGACATTGCATTTATTTAGACTTAATATAATTCTTAGCTTAACAAATTTTTAGATTTAGAAGTACTTTTTTAGATTTAGAAGTATGTTGCGCGCTCTATGTAGCGCTGCCGGCTCTATGGTCCTTGGTCAGGCTGTTGGGGCGCCGGTGCTGGTACTCGCACAGGTTGTTACATATAAACGCAGTGAGGCGTCTCCAATGGTCCAACGCAGTCAGCAGGGCATTTATCGTCAGGTTTTGTTTTAATATCTTTCTTTAGTGGCACTGCTTGGAATTTTATTTCATTAATAGTTTTTATTTTCTTAATTATTTCTTCATTTGTAGAGGATGAGCTTTTATATTGTTGCTGAATCAACTCGATATTGTCGATTTCAGCTTGTAGTTTATTGTCTGTTTCCCAACTTATTTTTGCGTTGGTGGCAAATAGCAGTTTGAGGAGATCGGCTTTTTTATTTTAAAGCCTTCTTTCAACTCCACTGCGCCTAGTTTTAGGCATTGCTCAGAGCCTCTACTCACTCAGTATTTAGCCAGTTTTTCCTGATGCTATTGCCTGATGCTGCTTCGCTTTGTTTTGGACGTTGTTGTTCCCGTTGTGGTTAGTTTTGCCTTAGCTCCAATTTCTCCAATTTCAACGAAACACAGAAAGTTTTTGCATAATGTTGCTGGCTGTGAATTGATTGCATGTTGTTTGTCGGTTTGTTAATTTCCTTTGCATTTGTTGTTTCGTTAAGTTGCTTTGTTGATCAGGTTAGTCCTTAAAAGGACTGGTCACGGTCACCATGTTGATGAGGAATTGCCGCAGTTTTAATATAAAAAGAATTTATACGATGGCACGTCAGTGCCTCTTTTGACTTTTTCGACGAATGTTCTTTATTGATTATATATTCTTATGGTTAGAGCCGCATAGCTGCGCTGCCGGTTACGCAAGCAGCGGAGCGGCTTCGTACATATACATATATACTTAGGTATAAGTGTTTATGTGTTAGCTTAAGGGTCTGGCGAGAGTCGCAGACGGAGAGAGGGTAATGTGTCCACTTGTTTACGAAACAGTCGCGCATGTAAAGTATGCCGACTCAGCGGAGTTAGTACTCGCGCTCTGTTAAGGCACATGCACTTGAGAGTGATCATGTTACCTCTTATGTTGTGACTGCGAGTTATTTATGAATATTGCAGTTTAATTGTAACAATGTATTTGTGACATTCTTTGTATATGTATATATGTATGTTACTGGGTACAGTGAACATTTGATAAAGTGGACATACTGCAGGATATTGTGACAGCGCATTCAGTATCATATCCCAACTAGCTGTGTTGAAGGCGTTCTTAACGTCCAGGGTCGCGATGATGCAGTATTGCTTCGTCCCGTGCCTCCATCTGGTGCCTTGGATGGTGGAAGTTGCCAGACAACAACTTTTTCTAGAGCATCCGTTGTTGACCGGGCCTTCCGGAATCCAAATTGATTTGGTGATAGATCAATTTCTCAAACACCTTTCCTATGGTGTCTAAGAGGCAGATCGGTCTGTATGAAGATGGCTCGTCTGGTGGTTTGCCAGCCTTGGGTAGCAATACCAGGTTCTGGGTCTTCCATTTTTCAGGGAACGTCTCTTCTATTAAGCATTCGTTGAATAATTCGGCGAAGGTACTAGGGAGCAAGGCGAGGGCTAGCTCGAGGGGCAAGAGGGGAAAGAGCGTTTCCACAATCGATTTAAGCTCCAGACGATCCGTCGGCTGCACCTGTTTACCTGCGTCTGCTCTTTTAACTACTGTCTTATATGCCCGGCCCCAAGGGTCATATTCGGCTGAGTCGCACAACTCTAGAAAGCATTCTCTTTTGCTTGCCCGAATGGCCTTCTTCAACTGTCTTCTGGCTGCCTGGTAAGCTAATTGTTTTTCGAAAAACGTAGACCTACCCCGAGCCCGTTGATAGTTTCTTCTCGCCTGGATGCATTTGCGCCGAATGTCACCTATTTGTGCATTCCACCAATACGTAGGCTCTTATTGTCGCGTGAACTGCTGTATTTGGGCCACCATTTGGCATGCTCTGGCCTCAGAATTACCAATTGTGCCCAGAGACTGAATGGCCTCTGAAAAAGCCGCGGGATCAAATGGATCCAGCCGATACGATTCCCTCCACAAGGTTGACGCCCTGGCAGGTGGCTCACCTATTGTGAACAGAAGTGCCGTATGATCGCTGCCCGTATAGTTATCGCAGTGGCTCCATGTTGCTTCCCGAACGAGGGATGAAGGGACAAAAGTAATGTCAATTACAGATCCGTATCCAGCCCGACTGAAGGTGAGCTCGTGGCCAGTGTTGAGCAGTGCTACATCTAGTGTCGCGAAAATCTCCAGTAAGATACGGCCTCTGGCATTTGTTGTGTGGCTACCCCATTCTAACGCCCATGAGTTAAAATCTCCTGCTATTATGGCCTTCCGACCCCTAGCATCCTCACACCCCTAGCATGCTGGGGGCCAGGTAGCAGCTGTAGAGCCTACCGCATAGGCTACTGCATTGGCCACGTACGAACCCATTAAATGACTTAACATTCGAAAGAACATTCGTTGTGTTGCCACATACCCACAACACCGCTTTGCCATTAGCATCTGTTGCCCATGTCCTAGGGCAGCTGGTTCTACAGTGGTGAGGCTCACTGAGAAATGCTACGTCTATACATTTTTCCCTTATGGTCTGCTCTAGAAGATCTTGGGCAGCAACACAATGATTTAAGTTAAGCTGAAGGAACCTTAACATTTCATTTTATGAGCAGCCTTGCGGTAGAATTGGCACTTGAAGCTGCCTGCTGAGTGGTCCGTCTGCTTTTCACCTTTCCGGATGCAGAGGCTACATTTTGGTGGCTTAGTGCATGCTTTTGCACTGTGACCCATCTCTCCACACCTGAAACAGACACAGTCGCTGCCGCAGTTTGCTGCCATATGACCGTAATCAAGGCACTTGAAACAGCGTTTAGGCTGATCCACGGCGCGGATATGGCATACAACCTATCCAATTCTGATTTTGGACGGCTAGAGCAGAGTGTTGGCTTTTCCAATTGGAAGAGCAACTGTAGCTCTTTGCTGTCCACCAAAAGCCGGTCGAAGCGACTTGATATCCTCAATGGGGAGTGAGCTATCCTTCAACTCTGCCCTAATTGACTCCAAGATCTCCTCTTTGCTCGCTAACTCATCTAGGTCACGAATCTCAATTTGAGCCGATTCGGTAAGTGTCTTAACTTCCGCTCGGTCACCCAAGGCCTTGCCTACAGCTTTGTGAAGGGCCTCAGCACTATGCTCCGGCTTTCTGCTCAGTTGCAACAAAAGGTCCCCTTTAGCTGTCTTCCTAATGTCTTGAACGTCGCCGCTCAGATGCTTTAGATTTGGGTCGGTCTTGACTACACGAAGCATGTCCGCATAGCTGCAACCACCCACGCCTGAAATCGCGATTGCGTCACTTCTGGGTCGTTTTTGCATGGGCTTGCGTCCTTTAACGACTGTCCAGCTGTTCGGGTTTGTCTGTCAACCTGCCTGATTTGAACTTTCTGCTGTAGCCCGTAGAGCCATTGGCATTGGGTTCCTGCGCCTTTATTGGGCCTCGGCTTTTTTGAGGGTGTTTTCCTCTGATCGGTGGCAACTTCCCTCGACCCCTTGGGCGTATTGCTACCTGTGATCACACTAGTACTCGCTTTCTCCACTACTTTCTGGAGCGGCATGGTCTGCACCTCGCAGTTTTTAACCGGTCGGTTGCAGAGCTTTTCGGCCGTCTTATGGAGATTGACCAGCGTAGCCAGCTCCTCTCTCATTAGGGCATTAATATGCCGCTGACCCCCAAATAAGGCAGTCAAGCCCTCTAGCGTAACTCCTATTTGGGCTAACGCTTCTTTTAGTGAGTTGGGTGCCTGGCACTCAGCCACTGGGGATTGATTAAAGGTCGACGGCTGCGGCAGCGCCCTGTGTTGTTGCTGCGGTGATCGCTGCAACGAGGAACGACGCGCGAAAGCTTGCAGCTCGTCCTCCATCCTGGCATCCATTTTTTGCTCCGACTACAACGACGTGAAGCCTGTAGTGGGCAATGGCTACTAAAATACTAAAATTTGAGTTTACAGACCGCAGTATCTTAAACTCAGCTTAACTACAGCAAGAGCCCGAAAGTATGCACTACTTTTAGTAACTGCGTCTTCACTCCAGATGTTAGGTTGCTGTCTTTGCTAAGACTTAGCAACTCACCAAAGTTAGTGAGCAGCTGATTGTCCGCTGCAATTTCCAGCACTACTAACAACTGTTAGAGTGAATGCACCTGATTTTTATCAATTGCGCAAGTGTGACGCCTAGCGACAAAACTTTTCGCGCTTGAAAAAAAAAGGAAAGAGAAAAGCTTTGACGCCAAAACAATGACGCTATTGCCCCCCTCTCTTGCAGCACTGGATTCTACCACCGGGGTATTTCACGAACCGCCGCGCAGTAAGTCTCTGGTAGCTTTCGAGGTCGCTGGGTACGTTGCGCCCACAGCATACACGTTTTCTTTAGATATTTCCACTTTCGCAGGGAAAAACTCGGAACAAGCTATAGTCAACGATGGATCACAATAACATCGACCGCACTCCACGAAAACGCAACTCCTCCGTGTGTGTTTGTGTGTCTTGTGTAAGCAGAAATACGCGAAAAATGATTGAAATAGCTATTGCTCGAAGGGTTCAGGGGATCTCGTAGTTGGGCAGTCTCGACTAGAGCTTTCTTACTTGTTTTCTTATGTCAATTATCAAACTATTAGTTCCTCGGAGCGATCAGATGTTTAGTCTCCGCTAGACTTAATATATTTAATTTTGGTGAAAATCGTGTAACTTTCAATTAATCTGAATCTGATATTTGATAATTTTAAGGAATTTTAAGATTGAAGTCTGTGGTGAATGCTCCAATTAATTTGGAAGTTTGCGATGCATTATATGAGTTAAACCAGTTTGAAAAAGCTAAAGCTGAACTTCATAATAACAAACGTGTATTCACTGGTAACAAGACCAAGGCTTTTGAAGACCGATTGATTGTGGTATGTACCAATCAAGGATTTTTGTCAGTTGATACAAGATTGTTATTAATAGGTTGATGAAAATATAAAAGATGCCTGCGGGGATGGCTTAAGCCCATTTATATTGGAGAATGAACGCATGATGTCCCACGTGAAAGACTTACTTAACGAAAAATTTAAGGTTGACAATCGCCCTTTGTGGAAAATCCTAAAGGAACAAAATAAATGCGATATATTAAGCATTCCTGAATGCAAAGTTAGTGAAAAGAAAACATATGATATATATGTATATATATTTGTATATATATATATCTATTTGTATTCTTAGGAGGAACTACTGAGCCCACTAGAAATAGCAAGACGAAAACGTGCTTTTGATATTTGCTACCAAGTATATATTGACAAATCATGGATAGACATTCTTTTTTTGAAGAACTTAAAAAAGTAAGTTTTTTCTTCAATTTAATGTGTTATGTAAAATTTATTTGGTACATTGAAATTTACTAAAAAAAAATTCAATGTACATTGTAAACTGTAGCGGTTTGAACATTTTCATCATACCGAGACAAAACATGTAAGAACATGACTCTTTGTTGCCATCCTGTGCTTAAACGCAAACCTGTTGAATATGAGATATCATTTCCTTAAATCTGTTAATTGTATCTGTAGGGACAGTCTGTATTATATATATATATATATTTTTTTTTTTTTAATTTTTTTTTTGCGGGTCCGTGTAAAGCACACGCAGATTAAGTTTGTTTACAATATAGCTATAATGTTAAAATCCCTTAATATAATAATGTATAAGATTTTATATTGTTCATCTTACAGTTAGAGCTTGTTGAATAACAATCCGGGTATAATGATTTTGTAATCAGGGTATAATGATTTTGTTAAAAGTATGCAACATACAGAAGGAAACAATTCGGGATTTCTCATTTATAATACATACATATATTCAAATTGGGCAAATTTAATCAAGATTCCTTTTACATGCGTAACGGTCTCAGCAATCCAAGTTTACTTCTGGACCAGTGCAAAATGTCCAAAGATTTTCTGGGTACGATGGTGGCTAAACAATACGAAGTCGTCAAGAAGTTTTTGGTATGTTTTAATATTAATGACTTAAAAGTCTATTAATGTAATCAATTATATTCAACAAATCAAGAAAATTATACAAGCTCGATCACCAATGTATTACGTGCGGTACAAAAAGTATTCTAACAAAGATCGGTTACTTAAGTTCAGAGAGGCTCTTCTCAATCGAATACAGTATCAAACACGACGAAACATGATTTCTGTTTTACAAACTATTACACGTCTTCGGTACCAAAAAAATTTGACGGTAAGTTACTTAAAGGTCACGCGAAAAAAAAAACAAATATACTATATACACATGCTATCGAAACTCTGCGTACAATGGGAAAAACCGAAATTGTCTAAAATGTATATAAGTCGATTTGGTCCTGTCCGTCTGTCTGTCCGTCCGTCTGTCCGTCCGTCCGTATGTATGAACGCGTCGATTTCAGAAGATATAAAAGCTAGAGACTTGAAATTTTTTTTCCTAGGTCCGTGCATATCACGCGCATATCGAGTTTTTCGCTAAATATCGATAACTACTCCCGATATTTGATTATCGATTAAAAACCTTATCGAAAGCTAGTTATGTAATTATATCTCCTAAATCTTTAGAGCTAGAATTTCCAAATTTTAAATGTAGACTTATATGTATTTTATAAAATTTTGGTTTTTGTCAAAATTTACCCCCCACCCAATAATTCAGTGCGTGTGTATCTCTGTGTGTGTGCGTGTGTGTGTATGATGTGTGTGTATGATGTGTTTGTTTATATGTGCGTGTATATGTGTGTGTGTATGCTTGTGTGTATGCGTGTGTGTGTGTCTGTGTTTGTAGGTGCGTGTGTCTTGTGTAAGCAGAAAGACGCGAAAAATGATTGAAACAGCTATTGCTCGAAGGGTTCAGGGGATCTCGTAGTGGAGCAGTCTCGACTAGAGTTTCTTACTTGTTAATGGATTCGGGATATTAAAATGAAAATACGTACTTTCTAATGCAACCGAATTACCGCAAATGAATATGCAATAATAATTAAAATTTTTTTGTTTCAGAGGCTTTCAAATTATATCGAGGAGGTAATGGGAGATTACACAGTACTGAAAACAAATCGAATTATGCCATGGAAGATAGAGTTTATTAATGATGTCTATAATACTTTGGGCTTAGCTTTATCCGAACAGTATGTTGTACCTAAAAACTTTCGAATTGGTGAAAAAAACCCAGTTCTGCAATTATTACATTATAACCCGCATAAAGTTAAAGAAATAAACACATTTGTTTTCGGAGATCGATCCACACATCAAGATCAGGAGTCAGTGGACCCCACAATTATAAAATCCAAGTAAGTTTTGTTATTTTGGTAAGCAATTAAATGTATTTTTTTTTTTCAACAGACGACTGATATCTCGCTTGGAGAAACGCATAGTATTTTCTAAATATTCGATTGAAAAAGCGTATTTACTTCATCAAATTGCATGCATTCATCTTCAGTCCAATCACTATGACGAGTGTTGTTTTGTTGCTCGCAAGGCCTTGCAGGGTTTGAATAATGTTTTGTTTCAACGATTTAACTTATAACGCTATTTATTCTTAGAAGCAGAGCTATGCAACAGTAATATATGGAGTTTCTTGAGCATTATTATCACTGTGAAGTCCAATGCATCTTTAAATAAAACGGAAGGTATAAGTGACGCTTTGAAAAGAGCGCTTTTAGTTGCTGAGAAGCTTCAATCACCACAAATAATCGAATTTGTCGAAACGTGTATTTCTGGAAATGATCGTTTTTCTTGCGTAAGAGGCATCGATAGCCGTCGAGAAAGCAAAGCACATACTCGGAAGTCTCTCAACTGATAGAATCTTTTGTACTCCATCAAAATTCACAGTGTTTCAAATTATTCGTTAAAATAAAAAATCCTTGATATTCCAGACTTAGAGACTTGCGCTTCTACAGATATACACATTTCAAGGTTTGATGAAGATAGACCCATTGCAATACCGATTGCAGAATACTCATTTACAGCTCAAATCTGTCAACCAGAGTATATAGTGCAATTTTCAAGTCTAGTGCGCAATAAAAAACAGGGCATGATCCCATTAAAATTGGGAAATAATCGATAGCTACTGCTATCATTACAGCTAGAATCTTCAAATTAAATATATAATTTATACAATTTTGATTTTTATTATATATTTATATCCATATATTGGATACCGGCTTCAAGCTAGCAGCAGATCAGCGCGATTTTCCTATACATGTGCACACACTCATCGTGTATTCTATGCGTACAGCAGAAGCGCGCCTTTTCGCTCATTCTTAGAATTTCGATTGATTTCTGGATTTTCTAGCCGTTATAGTATTTTTTTTAGATGACGCTCTGTTATTAAGCTATTCTATTTCAGCAACTGGCTGATGAAGCAAAGCAGTAACGAGTGCGCTAAAGGCGACGCAAGTTATGTTAGAGTGTAGGGGAGGTTCGAAACCTCTTCGATGTTATTTTTTTTTTTTTTCATACATATTTCGTTTTTATAAAATATGCATATTTTATTGTGAAGGTGCGAGCTTGAATGAATGGCACACAATGCTTTTCTTTTTCTTAGTCGAATAATTTTATAAGTTTACATTTGTTTCTTCTTAAATTGCCCTCAAATACATATACGCAAATACATACATATGTAAATATGTATGTAGAATTTTACATTTATTGAGTAAATTAAAAGTCAATTTAACGATTTCCTTTTAACTTTAAACTATAACGAGTTTTACAACAAATGTCTACAAAATTATATTATATTATATTGTATTTTATTATAGAGATTAATTTTAGTTACACTTAGGTTATTTAATTAATTGTACGTGTTCATGATCTTTTCACTTCTTGTGATCTCTATTTCACTTCTGTTCTTCTTTATCTTATTCGGCATTTTTACTTAGCGACACTTGATTCTGTTGTACGTCTTAGCTGCTTGACGGCTGCCTCACGACTCTGCTGGTCGACGACTGCATAACGACTCTTCTTCTTCTAAGAACGATTCGTGATCTAGTTCAAAAGCTAACGTTTACTCCGATTCCCTACGGTTCATCTGCCAGGGGTGTTGCAACTTTTACGAATCCCACATTCGGCCCTCCTGACAAGTCCTTCGACCCGAAGGAGTCCCACATTTTCATATACTCCACTACTGTTGTTGTTCTACGTGGTACTTCTCCGATTCCTACCCTTTCCACCTCATATCTGCCGTGATCTTTCTTTTCTAGTATCTTATACGGTCCTAAATACTTCCCTTTCAATTTTAAACCTGTGCCATATTGGGTGCGTCTAATAGCTACTAAATCATTAACATTGTATTGAGTTTCTGCCTTCCTCCTCAGATTGTAAGTTCTTTTGTTTTCTTCCTGTAACTTCTATATATTTTCTCGAGCTCGATTCCGTACTTCAGATCGCTCATCGTTTAAGTCATCGATTAAGCTTTGATCAATTAATTTCTTCAATTCGAGATCGTCAGGCAAACGCGTCTCCAGGCCTGTTAGGATTCTAAAAGGAGACACTTTAGTACTTCTTGGTGCCGTGTTATTAATTACTTGCTGGACTCTCGCGAGATACTTGTACCAGCCTCCAGGACAATCGTGACTTAACTTGGAAAGCATTGGTACGACTATCTTATGCATTCTTTCTACCTGACCATTCCCGCGAGGTACACCGGTAGCTATTTGCATGTGCACAATTTTTTGCTTTTGACAATAATCTTTAAAGATGTGCGAGGTATACGCCGTTCCTCTATCTGATACTATTCGCTCAGGGTTTCCAAACACAGAAGCTTGCCTTTCTAAACATGAAATAACTTCGTCAACACCTGTACTACGAGTTGGGTATAGCCATACAAACTTTGAAAAAGCATCTACCACGACCAGAATGTGGTTATAACGTTTGTTAGTCGACTCCATTGGCCCCACGTGATCAATATAATAAGTACATAACGGTCTATCACCTTTATCAATCGAGTACAAAAACCCTTCTCTCTTTCCACTCTTGGTATTCATCTCAATCGGGGAGCTTGGCTTTTTTATCGGATGATAAGAATCTACTATTCGTCTCACGTCTTCTTGTTGTGATTTAGTCAAGTGTGGCAACTCTAAGTCTATTGTCTCACCATCTTGATCCAAACTAAGCATACACATGTTTTTGAACTCACTTAGCGCTGTTGAGCAAGAACTACTTTCAACGGATACTTTAGATTTTAATATGGTTCCACCTTCAGTCACTACTAAATCGACACACTTTAGAATTGTTCGGCCAAGAATGACCTCGAAAACGATATCCTCGTCTGGTACTACATGAAATTCGATATTTATCTTTATATCGTCTATTTTTACTTATACTACGCAGCTTCCAAATGTCAAAATCTGACCATCACCTATACCATTCAAAGATTTACCAGGGCCAGACAATTCTCTTATTCTTAACTTCTGATATACGCGTTTTTGCATAAGACATAGATCAGCTCCAGTATCGACTAAGCCTTTCCAAATCACTGCACCACCAAACTATATTCTTCAGTTCTAATCCAGAAGGCGTGAATGTACTCGACATCGTTTCGATTGAATTGCTTTCATTAACGAGATTTGCTGATTTCATTGGTTCATTTACAATTTCACCTTTGCATTGTGCTGCACGGTGTCCTGGCTTCCCGCATTTAAAACAGCAGAACTCTTTCTTATGACAATCTTTCAGGGTATGTGAGTCAGCTCCGCATTTAAAACATTTTACAGCTTTTTTATCTGGAAAATCTCTTTTGACTGCCTTATTTCTTGCTATGAACGTATTAGGCGTTGAATTACAGAACTTCTGATAACTCACAAAAGTGTCTTATTTATGCGAGAATCTGGTATCCATTCAACAAAATACTCGATCAAACTCTCCTCATCTAAATCAATATTCTTTGCTATTTCCATCAAGGCATACAAATATTCTTGAAGTGTCTCACCTTTCTTCACCTGTCTCTTTCTCAACCTTCTGTGGATTTCTGCCGATGTGACTTTTACTTCAAATTCACTGATCAAGGCTGTTTTCAATTTTTCCCAATTATTTATACCCCTCTGACTGCGGATAAACAACTTAGGAGCACCATCAAGTAATTGCTTTGCATACACGAACAACTGTAATTCTGACCACTGAACTGTAACTGCACATTCTTCGACTTCAGAGACCCACTGTTCTATATCCATTGAGCTTGAGCCATCAAACTTATTTACACTATCTTCGACATCTTTAAGTGTAAACCACGATCTGCTTTGCTCAATATTACGCGACAACGGAACTATATTTACTGCTTCGTCATCTGAGTCCTCCTCCTCTATTCCCAGACCATAATGTTCTAATAGCCTGTTCTGCAATTTTACTTAAACAAGTTTGAGCAAGTTTACTTAAACTATAAATTTCGATTTCTAGCTTTTCGTTATTTAAATTGTTCAGCAGCCCAATCAGCTGTGAATTTGCATATAATCGATTATGTTATGTTAGGTGACGCTAAAATAATAATCGATTCTGTTATGTTAAGTGACGCTTCTAACTTTTCTCGCTTACAATTACTCGTTGCTATGGCCTTAGAGCTATGGCCTTAGAGCTTTTACTTATGCTACACAATTTATTGATACATACAAACTTTTTGTCATGCAACCACCTAAAATTTCGTTATGCACCAATTCTTCTTCTTCTCTTACTGCTCGATCACAGCTCATCCAGCTTCAATTACCCTGAATACGCACTTCGTCTAGCGCACAACCACCTGACTTGCGCTCTTGAACAACTGCATCCAGTTTTTCTATACACCTGATAGTCCGCCTGTGATTCCAACGATGAATCTCAGTTCCACCTTCTGTGTTGATCTTAGCGCACAGCCACCTGACTTGCGCTCTTGATCAACTGCATCCCGTTTTTCTATTGTAATAAGAAGGTAATGACGGGAACGCATCCGTTTGGTTTGTGTTCAGTTTATTGAATAATGTGTAAATGAAAAATGAAATAATGTCTTAAGCTAAGATACATATATTTCTTATTATATATATCTCTGCCGCAGAAGGCAGCAGAGCGAGAGAGCGTAGTATGTGTGTATGTATATGCAAAGGGCATATACATTAGAATTGCTATATGAGCCTCTGCTCATGAGCATATATATATGTTTGCAAGCGGCAGCCGTTGGCTTGTGAAGCGGTCAAGTGCTGACGCGGCTATTCTCACGCCTCTTGTATATAAGCGGTATATATGTATATATGTCCGATCATCTCAAGTGCATTTATGTTTACATTATTGTATATATTTGGTTGTATATTTACATAGCGACAAAGTGTCACTATGTGTACATTTTAGTGTATTGAGTGCCGGGTATATATATTATTAAATGAGACATACTACACCTCCCTTTTTAAAAAAAATAACGTAATATATGTAGTTATTTAATTATTTATTTAATTTTAAATTTAATTAGATATATATATTATTATTATTATTTTTTTTTTTTTTTTAATATATATTCTTAATATATAAATTTTTGTTTTATTGTTGTGGCTTTATGAAAATAATTAAAAAAAATTTTTTTTTTTGTTGGTTTGAATAAAATGAGAGTGAAATAAATGAACAATTTTTTTTTTTTTTTTTTTTTTTTTTTAATTTTATTATATTAGGTTGATCAGACCGATTTGATGAACCTTTTAATTATGAAAAATTTTTTTTATTTTTTTTATTTTAGCCTATCTCTATGTACTATTTGTTTTTTATTTTTCTTATTCTTGATAATTATATTATTATTTTTTTCTATACTAATGACCTCAAATGGTCCTATATATGAAGATTCTAGTTTATGACCTGTTTCGTTCTTTAAATAAACTTGGTCTCCTATTTCTATTTTAAAATCTAATACTTTCTTATCATTTTTT